GCGGAACTCCGCGCCTTCGTAGTCCGTGCACCGACCGGCGCGGCACCCTTGATGCTGCTGTTGCACTCGGAGGCACTTCCGGAGAGCCACGAGAGAGCCGCCGTCGACAGTGCAGGTGGAGTTTTTCGAGCTGCGTCCAGCCGTGGCTCCGAGGAAACCCCTGCAGCCCTCGACGTCCGCGCGCCGGGCTGGCCACGGCCCGCCGCGCTGGCCGGCCTCGCGGCGTCCCTGGCGAAGGTGTCCTCTGAGAGCCAGGAGAAGGCCGGCGACTGCGGGGCCTGCGCCGGCGTCCTCGCGCCCCCTGGAACAGCTCGTCCCCCTCCACCGCCACGACCGCCTTCATCACGTACGTCGTCGTGTCCAGAATGAAGGGGAGGAGTAGAGGAGGAAGTTGTTGATGCTCGTGGCCGAGGCGCCGGGGCGTGGGCCCGCGCCGCCTTGCTGCCGCGGCTGCCAGCCCGGCTCCGCGTGGCCCAGGAGAACGCCGTAGCTGGTGAGGCTGCCTGCTGCGCGTGCCGGCCGGCGCCGGCGGGGGGTCGCGAGCGCGCCCTGCTGCTCGTGGGGGCCGGGGGTGGCACCGAGCGGCCGCCTCCTCTGCCCCTGCAAGGCATGCTTCCCCCCACGTCCTCGGCGAGAGCCTCCGGCCAGCCAGAAGCCACCGGGCGGACTGCCTGGAAGTGCTCATTCACGAGCGTCAAGACGAACCACCCCTTCTTGCGGAACTGGTCGCCCAGGGTCCTCCTGGCCCATCCGTTCTTGTCGTCCCGGTAGACGACCGTGATCATCCGCTTGAGCCGCGTCGCGGTCGCCGTGAGCTGGAGCTCGTCCATGTAGAAAGCGTTGTCCGTGCACTTGTTCAGGTACTCGGCCCACGCGCGTCCCGTGTGGCTCGCGGCCTTAGGGTCGAAGCACCAGTGCGGCTCCCACACGTCGGGGTTGTTGGTCATCTGCTGGACCGTCTGGACCCGGAGGGTGCCGGCCTCTTTCATGATCTTGTCCAGCACCTCCTGGGAGCTGAGATCGGCCGCGGTGTCCTTGGCCATCTTGCCCGAGCCCACCACCGCGCAGTAGCCGCATGCACCCTTGCCGCCGGTTTCGACCACTTCGTAGCCGTCGAGGATGCACGTCTTGTCCTTGATGACGTTGTTGCCATCGAGCCTGAGCCGCTTGTGGGCCCGGTCGCCGTCGTCCGCGCCCTTGCCCTGCTTGGTGGCTGGGTCCCGGGGCGGCTGCTGGTCCTGCTGCTGTCCCTGTCGGTCGGCGCCCTGACCGCCCGCGGCCGCTGCCGGCGCGGGAGGGCCTCCAGCGCCAGGCTGATCCTTCTCGTCCGCGTCGTCCATGGCGACGTCGTCGTCTGGCTTGGTGTCCTCGTCGTCGAGCCAGGGGAGCGCGGGCCTGCGGAGCTGCTTGCCCACCGTCTCCTGCTTGACCTTCCGCGGCATTGGCAGAGCTGATCTTCTCGGACGGGTCGGCGCCCTCCCACATGTACGAAGTGCTTTCCGCGGGCCGCGCCTTGGCGCGGAACCGCCAGACACCGTGCCCCAGGTCGCCGGTCACCTGCGGCTCCGTCCAGCCGTTCCCTGTCAGGAAACTCTCCAGTTGATCTGAACGCCACCACTTGGGAGTCGTGGCCTTCCAGACGAAAGGCGGGGACGCTTTGACGTCTATCCCCGCTCGTTCGAAGCCGAGGTCTGGCCCGCCGCCGATCCGGTGGACCAGCGGGGCGCCCGCTGCGGCTTGGAGGGCAATCTCGAGGTACTCCTTGTCCGTGCTGTCCGCTGGCCGCGGCGCCCACGACACCGTAGTGCGCGCCATCTTGTTCCTGTTCGTGGCGAGGTGCCCCACGAAAACGCCCTTCTTGCCGCTGATGGCAATGAGGGCGTCGACCTGCTCTTTGGTGCCAGTGACGTACATGTTGTAGCTCTGGGCCTCGTCGTGCGCGCCCGTGGGCCGCCAATTGCCCAACTGCATGCCTTTCGCCCCGGCCGGCCAGACCTGCTTGAGCAGGGCGTTGGCGTTCCCCAAGCTCAGGGCGTCCATGTACTTATCGAAGACCGTGAGGCGCACGGTGATCGTGTCCACCTTGACTGGAAGCTTCGCGGCGCTCTGGACGACCGGGCCGGCAGGTCCAGTGACCTCCTTGCCGACCGTGGCCAGGGCGACCAGCTTGATCTGAAGCTTCTCGTTCGGCTCCATCTTGGACAGGGTGATGTGCTTGGTGGCGGCGCGCGCCGCCCCTGACGGCTTCCAGGAGACGCCGGCCACCGGATTGACCACGACACCCACGGTGAGGCTGGCGTCCTTGGCGGCCTCCTCGCCCGCGCTGTTCTCGCCGAAGTGCTGCCGCCAGAGCGCGAGCATCTCGTCGGCCTCCTCGACGGTGTCGGCGAGGGTGGCTGTCTGTCCCTTGCTGGGCAGCTCGGCCTGCCTGAGCTTGCCGAGCACGGCGCCGGCCCGGCCGAGCGTCGCATCCGGCCAGTCGCGCTGCCAGAGCGACCAGGCGCCACTCCCAGTCTTCGCGGGAGGCTTGCCGGTGCCGTTGTCCTTGCCTTTGCCGCTGCCGTTGGGGTTCCCGGAGGCGGTCTTGTCCTTGGCTTTGGCGCCCGTGGCGCCGAGGTTGGCGGCCTCGCCGCCCTTGCCCTTGCCGCCGCCGCTGCTGTGAGCCGCGGCGGCGCCCTTGCCTTTGTTGTCGCCCGCCGGAGGGGCGCCGCTGCTGTTCCCGTCCGCGCTCAGGGTGATGTGCCCGCCGTCCACTGCCTTGAGGATCTTCACGAGCTTGCCCTTCAGTGCGTTGTCCGTCCGAGCCCTGCCGAGAGCGTCCTGCAACGCCTCTCGCAAGGTCTGTTTGCCCCGTCGCTGCTGCGGCTGCTGTGGCTGCTGCGGCGGCTGCTTGGGGGGCGCCTGCGCTGGAGCGCCCAAGAGTAGGCGCAGCCCCTCGAGGAGCTTCATGTCCTCGGCCTTCGGCTGCGTGGCCTTGCGGCCGCCGCCCAGCAGGCGGGAGGCCGCGCCCTTCCTGAGGATGCCACGCTCGCTGAAGGCGTGGTTGTCGAATTCAGGCTCAGTAGCTGCCTGTATGCTGCAATTGACCGTGCAATCCGAATTGAAAGAAAAAGTACCTGTGCATGGAGCTGAGATTCGATCGGCAGCCTTGCCGTCGTGGTTGTCCCTGACGACGGCATGACCAGGAGCGTTGGGATAGCCAACGCTGATGCAGCCAACGCTGGAAGGGCCAACGTTGGTAGAGACGATGTCGTGCATGCTGCTGTCGATCTCGAGCTGGCACTCCTGCTGGAGCGCGTGATTGACGTCCTCGGCACACTCCAGCGGCCCCGAGAGGAGCCCCACCTTCACCAAATCTGGGAGGTACGTGCCGTGGAAGGCTTTTTACCACTGGAGGCCTAACGACCTGAAAAGCTGAGCGAAACAGCCTGAAACCAAGACGTAGAATAGCTTTGGGACAGGTTTGAACGTCGGGTGCTATGTTTTTGCCCTCCTGGAAGGTCGGGGCAGGGCGACCGCGGCGGCGGGAGGGAGCGGCGCGCCGCCCGGCGCCGGGCCGGGGGAGGGGCGGTGGTGGCGGCCGCGCGCCGGCTCCAAGGCCGGCGGCTCCTGGCCCACCTCGCCGCTCTGCGTGGCTGGGCCTGCGGGCTCCGTCGTGCACGGCCGCCCGCGCATGGCCGCCCAGCCCTCCGGAGCCGGAGGCCGCGTCCGCAGGGCCGTGGGGGGGGGAGGGAGATCTGGCCGCCGTGACCGCGTGGTCTCGAGCCCAGATGGCTGCGGATGCAGAAAGAGGGTACCATGGGCTTCCGCTGGAGGCGTGTTGGGGGCCCCTTGGGCTGTCTTGAAGGCCTGGAGGCCTGCTGAAGAAACCCAATGCTCCAAGCAACACGTGACCGTTGCGTAGTAGTTCGGGGGGCGTTCCGCTTCTCGGTCTCAAGGGCGTCCAGTTGCTGTCCAAGCGGCTGCAACGGACACCCCAAGACAGGCCTCGAGCCCCAGAGATGGGCCCACGGATCCCCCAAGACGGCCCCGCGAGGTGCCCCGAAGGGGGCACCCGATCTGGCTGCACGCAGCAGTGGCCTTACGCGGGAGCAGCCTCCAGTGTGCGGCTCCCGGGGGGGCGGGGGGAGGCCAAACCCAGGCGCGCCAGCGGCCGCTGTCGCAACGCACTCGGCGAACGGCAGAGCTCGGGAGGGCCAGCACCAACCGCTCCCTCGGGCGAAGGGCCAGTCCCACGTGCAGTCGAGAACCGCCCCCTGCCGCGACGCCCGTCCAGAGCCGGGGCCGCAGCACGGAAGCTTTGCCCTCCGTGGTCTGCGCGTCCCGCCTCGTTCCGGCAGAGGGAAGCAATTAGTGAACACCCCCCTGCCCCCCAAAACTCGAAGTTGGCACGCGGGGGGGGAGACTGCGGTCGAGGTGCAACTCATCAGACCCACCGCCAACTTTGAACATTGGGGGGAGGGGTAGGCGTTCAAAGATGAATGTGGCATGAGTGTTCGCTAATTTCTTCCGAGGCCTTGTTCTGACTCCCTCTCCGCGGCCGCCCCCCGTTCCACTTCGCCCAGGCGCAACGGGCCCGCTCGGGCCCGCCCGCGCGGAACGGAGAGCGAGCGCCCCCGCGGCGACCAAGAAAGCGGTCGAGGGCGTGGCATCCCGGGCCCTCCATCCCAGGGCGGCCCCCGGAGGCGACGACCGCGAGCAGGGAGCAGAGGCTCGAGGCTTGGGAATGGGCACCACCACCACCAACACGGGGGGGGGTGCCTCCACGGGGGGAAGCTGATCCTCGGCTTCGGTGCTGGTGCCAATCTTTCGGCCACCTGGAAGCCCGAACCTTACCACCATCACCGAGATCGGGGTCGTTTTCCCTCGGTGGAGGCACACCGCCGATACTGGTGTTCTTGTCAACCTCAACCTCGATACTGGTGTTCTTGTCAACCTGGAGGCAACCCGATAAGAGGCGAACGAGCGCCCAGCGAGGCGCCCCCCCCCCCGAGCGGCGCCCGAGCGCCAGGTCCGCCGTGCACCAGTACTTGTAGCTGCCGCGCGAGGCGAAGAGCCAGTTGTTGGACGCTTCCTTCCCAGTCCGGGTCGACCCCAAAGGGGGTCCAGCGACAAGGGGGTGGTGCAATAGATTTGGTGCAATAGATTTGTGGGGTTGCCATACACTTGGGGCGCGCAGTGCATTCCGGGGCGCAAATGTATTGCTGGATGTTCGCGTGCAGTACATTAGTTGCAATACAATGCAATACAGTTCTCCGGCGCAGTACATTTGCAAAACAATTGCCCCCAAATCTGTTGCACCACCCTCTTGCGGCTGGACCCCCTTTTGGGCCACCCACACCAGAGCCCCCCTGCGACGGCGAGGTCTGCCCGTGTCCGCTTGCCCTGGCCAAGCCATCCCTGGCCCAGGAGCAGTGCATACGGCTCCCTGGGGTGGCAAAAAAACGGCGCACGCTCGAGGGCGTACATAAAGCAGGAGGGCGTCCAAAGGCGGGCTCGCAAATCTTGGCCCGAGAGGCGTGTGCGCGGCCCAGGGAGGCAGGGGACGCACTGGAATCCGAAGAGGGGGCCATGAGATCTGGGGAGGTAGCACGGCCCCGCCATGACATCCACCACCCCCGAATCCTCACCCCCCTCCCTGCCATCGCTCGGACGTCCATTCCCCGTGGCTTGTTCGGCTCCCTCCGTGCTGCTGTGGCCAGAGGATCGAAGATGTTCCTCGATGGGCCCCTCGATGGGCCCCGCCGCGAGACAATGCTCACGTCCGAGCGATGCCAAGCCTCTGGGTGGCCCCCCGCTCCTGGGCCCACGGTGGGCAGGGCCATGGACGGTGGAGGTGTGTGGATCCCGTCGCCCGACGCCCACCCCGCCCTGCTGCCCCAACGGTCAAGTCGGGCCTGCCCCTGCACAACAGGAGTGCCCCAAAATGGTCATGAAACAGTATGGTGACGATTTCTCTACTATTTTCAACCAAAATCCTGTGTTTGACTATTTTTTGATTTTTTCCCACGAAAAACCTAAATCCTACTTTTCTACGATGTTCGACTTTTTTTAACCTAAATCCGCCTGTCGAGGGGACATGCCCGACCGAACCCAACGGCCGCAGTGGCCCCATGCCGCGGCATCCGTCGCCGCCCCCCCTGCCTCGCGCCCGGCACCCTACGCTCCGCAGGGGCACTCGAGACTCCGCGTGGCTCCGCCTCCCTGCGGGTGTCCAGCCCTGCGCTGGCCATCGCTCGGACGTCCATTCCCTGTGTTTTTTTCGGTTTCGTGCGTGTTTTTTTCGCCAAATGATCAAGGATGCTCCTCGATGGCCCTCGCCGAAGGAAAAATGCACACGTCCGAGCGATGCCAAGTGCACCTGCAAACTGAACCGAAACGCCTCTCCGAGGACACGCCCGCTGCACGCGCGTGAAACGGACACTCCTGGGCACACCTCTGGACGCCCGAATCATCCTGGATAACTGCTGTCCGACGTATACCTCCGCCTTGGGCCCCCGAGGCGCGAATCTGTAGTTACCCCTGTCTGCCTCCAGCCCTGATGATCTGTGAGGGTTGGACGCCCGAATTATCCGAGATAACTGAAGTCCGGGATAACTCCGGCTTGTGCCCCAGAGGCGCGAATCTGTACTATCCCTGATCGCCCGCAACCCTGATGATACGACGCTCTGATACCATGCACGGATCGACATGCGCACGTCTATCGAATAGCGCCCCGTCTGTTGGGAACCGCGTTGCATGGTACAGTACCGCACCGCTGCTTAGCGCCGCTGGGACATGTGTCTGGCGCTTGGACAAACCAAATCACTAGCACAACGCAAACTACTACTTTAGGCAGAGGTCACAATATCGAACATGTAAGACAGAGGCGCAGCAACTCGGATAACGCAAAACAAGCACGGTCGTCGATGAGGCACTTCGTAAAATCCTGAAGTGCAAGGCGAGGCTGAGGGAAATAGGCTGGACTCCGATTGACCCCCCGAGTAGACGACAAAGACGAGTCAGTAGAAGGCGGAGGAGGACCCTCCGAGCGGCACAATCCTTCATCCTGAAGCAGAGCTGGTTCTCGAACACCTCCGGCTTCCCTAACTGGAGCATCTCCCAGTCCTCGGCGCGCCGACGAGTCTGCAGGGAAGCAAGCGCAGCGTCAGCGAATGCCCGATGATGCCAGGAGGAAGTCCTCGTCCCTGCTCGCTGATCTACTGGGCGGGTAAGTGCTACATGCCACCGCTGTGAACCATGCTGCGCAAATATGTTACACGGCCAGGAGGAATTCTTCCTCTTCCTCCTCCTCCTCCTCCTCCTCCTCCCATTTCCCCCTCCCCCGCTATTCACTACTCACTACTCCCTACTCACGACTCACTACTCTCTACACACGACTCACTACTCACTACTCACTACTCGCAACTCCCTACCCGCTACCCACTACTCAATACCCACGTTTCGCATCCCACTACTCACTACTCACTACTCACGACTCCCTACTCACCACTCACTACTCGCTACTCACTACTCGCTACGCACTACTCCCTCTTCACTACTCACTACTGACTCCAGACTACTCCCTCCTCACTACTCACTACTCACAAGGCCCTACTCGCTACTGACTATTCACTACTCGCTACTCCCTACTCGCTACTCCCTACTCGCTACTCGCTATTCGCTACTCACCACTCACTACTCACTACTCCCTACTCGCTGCGCACTACTCCCTACTCACTACTCACTACTCACAATTCGCTATTCGCTACTGTCTGTTCCCTGCTTACTACTCACTACCCACTACTCTCTCCACACGACTCACTCCTCACTACTCATAATTCCTTACTGCTCTCTACTTCTTTCCCGCTCCGTTACCCACTACTCACTACTCACGACTCACTGCGCACTACTCACTATCACATACCCACTAGTCACCAATCACTACTCCGAATTCTCTACTATTCACTACCCGAAAGGCCCCCTCCCTCGCCCCCATGTTCGGCGCAAAGGGGGGGGGGAGTCCGACCCCCCCCCCCCCCCTTCCAGCGCCAAGGGGGGGAGGGGGGGAGGGGTCCAGACCCCCCCCCCTTCAAGGGGGGGAGGGGGGGGTGGAAAATCTCACCCCTCCTTTGAAGGGGGGGAGAGAGGGGGGTGTGCTTTGTGTATTCAGGGCCATCCACTGGCGCGCTTTCCAACTCTTGGGCCTCTGTGGAGGATTGGCGGTTTCCAATGTGCACGGCGCGCATTGTCCTGGTCCAAGAGCACAAGCTCGTGGAGGGGGACCCACTGGGCAGGGCGTCGGTGTGGTGTCTCAATAGTGGCTGGAAGTCTCTGTGGGCCCCAGCGGGCCTTGGGCCTCAAGGGGGCCTCTCGAGTGGAGTTGCCATCCTGGCCAGGTCTTGGCCAGATCCTCGGCCAGATCTTTCCTCAGCCTCCTCCTCCTCCTCCTCCTCCTCGTCCTCCTCCTCCCCCTCCTCCTCTTCTCCTCCTCCTCCTCCTCCTCCTCCTCCACCTCCTCCTCCACTCCCCTCCTCCTCCTCCTCCTCCTCCTCCTCCTCCTCCTCCTCCTCCGCCTCCTCCTCCTCCTCCTCCTCCTCCTCCTCCTCCTCCTCTCCCCTCCTCCTGCTCCTGGTCCTCCTCCTCCTCCTCCTCCTCGCCTCCTCCTCCTCCTCCTCCTCCTCCTCCTCCTCCTCCTCTCCTCCTCCTCCCCCTCCTCCTCCTCCTCCTCCTCCTCCTTGTCCCCCTCCCCCTCCTCCCCCTCATCCTCCTCATCGTCCTCCTCTCCTCCTGCTCCTCCTGCTTCCTCTTCCTCTTCCTCCTCCTCCTCCGCCTCCGCCTCCTCCTCCTCCCTTCTCCTCCTCCTCCTCCTTCTCTTCCTCCTCGTCCTCCTCCTCCTCGCACTCGCCCTCGCCCTCGCACTCGCCCTCACCCTCGCCCTCGCACTCGCCCTTCTCCCCCTCCTTCTCCTCCTCCTCCTCCTCCTCCTCCTCCTCTTCCTTCTCCTCCTCCTCCTCCTGTTGTTCCGTTTCCTCCTCCTCCTCGATTCACCTTCCTTCTACATAACTTCTCCCTCTCGCACCCCGAGGCCAGTTGTTAGGGCAGGCTGGGCGTTTCGCCTGAGGCTTCCTCGCCATGTGCGACTTTGAAACTTAAATGTTGGCATCAGTTTCAGAGGGCGGATGGTTTTCAACATGTGACTCTCGCCTCAGCGCGGCGCACTTTCGCGTTTTTTGACAAACAACATGGCGTACCGTTCACGGGTGAAGGGCGGGTAATGTTCAATGTGTGGCTCTTGCCTTAGCGCGACGCGCATTCGTTTTGAACTGTTGCAAGGGTTTCGCGGATTGAGGGCGACTCGTTTTCGAACTGTGGCTCTCGCCTTAGCGCGGCGCGCATTCGTTATAAACCGTTGCAAGCGTTGCACGGGTTGAGGACGGATCCTTTTCAAAATTTGGCTCTCGCCTTAGCGCCGCGCACATTCGTTTTAACCGTTTAAATCACGGATTCCCATCGTCAACGTACCAGAAATAGTGGTTTGGCAGGATTCAGGGATTATGCGGGTGCAGCAGTTACGTTGATTCTCTGCGCTGAAATCCTAGGAATGGCGGTTTGGCACGATTCTGGACCATCACGACGCAACAGTCAGGTTGATCCGTGGCGCTGGAATCCCGAGAACAATGTGTTGGCATGCTTCAGGGTCGTCAAACGGGTGTCTTCCAACGAGGCAGTTCCATCAATGGAAATGAACCGTTGTATGAGGACTATAGAGGGGGAGCTTGAAGGGAGGGTTAATTCCAACATCGAAAACTATAGAGGGGGAGCTTGAAGGGAGGGTTAATTCCAACATCGAAAATGGCTCTTGGGTTTACACTGATCCTCCTCCTCCTCTTCCTTCTCTTCCTCCTCCTCCTCCTCCTCATCCTCCCCCTCCTCCTCCCCCCTCCTCCTCCTCCTCCACCTCCTCCTCCTCCTCCTCCTCCTCCTCCTCCTCTCCATCCTTCTCCTCCTCCTCATCATCCTCCCCTACCCCCTCGCTCCTCCGCCTCCTCCGCCTCCTCCGCCTCGTCTCCTCCTCCTCCTCCTCCTCCTCCTGCCCTGCTCCTGCTCCTGCACATGCTGCTCCTGCTGCTCTGCTGCTCCTGCTGCTCCTGCTCCTCCTCCTCCTCTCGTCCTCCTCCCCCTCCTCCTCCTCCTCCGCCTCCTCCGCCTCCTCCTTCTCCTCCTCCTCCTCCTCCTCCTCCCTCCTCCTCCTGCTCCTGCTCCTGCTCCTGCTCCTCCCCCTCCTCCGCCTCCTCCTCCGCCTCCGCCACCTCTCCTCCTCTCCTCCTCCTCCTCCTCCTCCTCCTCCACCTCCTCCCTTCCTCCTCCACCTCCCTCGCCTCCTCCGCCTCCTCCTCCTCCTCCTCCTCCCTCCTCCTCCTCCTCCTCCCGCCTCCTTCGCCTCCGCCGCCTCCTCCGCCCTCCTCCTCCGCCTCCTCCTCCGCCCTCCCCTCCTCCCCTCCGCTCTCTCCTCCTGCTTCCTCCTGCTCCTCCTCCTCCTCCGCCTCCTCCGCCTCCTCCTCCTCCTCCTCTTCCTCCTTCTCTCCCTCCTCCTCCTCCTGATCCTCTTCCTCCTCCGCCTCCTCCGCTCCTTCTCCTCCTCCTCCTCCTTCTCCTCCTCCTTCTCCTCTCCTCCTCCTCCTCCTCCTCCTCCTCCTCCTCCTCCTCTTCCCTCCCTCCGACTCCTCCTCCTCCTCCTCCTCCTCCTCTCCTCCTCCTCCTCCTCCTCCTCCTGCCTCCTCCTCTCCTCCTCCTCCTCCTCCTCCTCCTCCTCCTCCTCCTCCTCCTCCTCCTCCTCCCCTCCTCCTCCTCCTCCCCCTCCACTTCCGTCTCCCCCTCCTCATCCTCCTCCTCCCCCTCCCCCTCCTCTCTCCCCCTCGCCACCCTCCTCGTCTTCTGGGCCGCCGGGCGCCCCCTGGCCGCCCGAGTCGCCACCACGGCGCGGCGCGGCTCGAAGAGGGGCAGAGCGGCACGGCCCCGCCGCGCCCTTCTCTGAGGGAAAGAAGAAGGAGGTCCCGCGCCGATCCGAGAAATCCGCGCGGACCCCCGCGTTATGTTCATGTCATTGTGCGTTCCCCCATTCTCCCCGCAAGGGTCGCCACGGGCGCCCGTGCTGCTCCTGCGGAGCACGAGCGCAGTTGATTCGCGGCCACAGCGGGCGTTATGAGGGGGGAAGGGGGGGGGTAGAAGAGGAGGAACCGCCGTAAACATAAATTTGTCGGACTCCGCGCGGATTTCTTGGGTCTGCGCTGGACCCCCCTCCCTGGCGCGCGGAGCGCGCCAGGGTCGGCGCCAGAGCGGGAGGCGCCGCCGAGGGGGCTCAGCGCGGATTCAAGAAATCCGCGCGGAGCGCCACAAGTTTATGTTTATGGTGTTTTCCCTTCTTCGAGGGGGGGGGGGCGGGAGGGGGTATGACGTAGCGCCCGCCCCGCCCTTCCCGACTGTGGTGCCGGACGCATTGCGGCAGTGCCGGGGACGCACTGAGGGGGGCAGCGTTACGTGATGGGGGGTGTGGAGGGGGGGGGAGAGTAGGAAGCATTACGCGCGTTATGGACGAAAACACTCCCCAATGCTCGCGGACCCCCCCCCCGACATCAAACCCCGGGTCGTCGACCCTTCGTTCCGTGTAGAGTTTCGAGGCGACCCCAGCCGTGGCGACGAGGGCCTCCCAGGAGGCCCGAGAAAGCGGACACGAGGGAAGGGAACCAGTGCGGATTTTGGGTGAAAGATGAAGAATAGTCAATCAAATATTCGAAGCAGATATCAAACATCGAACAATCGCCCCGCACTATGTTTCCACCTTCTTGAACATTCCTCCTGTAGAGGACACGCCCGACTTCATACCATTGTCGGTATCTCGTCCTCCTCTGAACTTCCCGAAGGCCCCCCGGCCCCCCCCCAGCAGTCTGGTCCTTCCTCTCCCGCAGGTCGTGCGCGATGTGCGGCGCCCCCGCGAACGGCTCTCCCTGGGGCGGGCATCGTGATGATGCTCAACGACTGACGCCTCCGCGCCGCTTCGGCCTCGTGTTCGGTCGGGCATGTCCTCCTGCAGGCGGAGCTTGGAGGAACTATTTTAAACAGAATCGAAGCATACCCAAACATACTCAGAAAATACTTGGGAAATCGTTCCCATGCTGTTTCTAATGCAAATTTAATACTCCCCATGCAGAGGGACACGCCCGACTTCAGCCTCGTGTGTCACAAGCGAGACCCAGACATCTTGCGTCTCGGAAGATCGAGACGGCGATTGTTCATCGTCTGCGGTTCCTGGGGGCCCTCGCCGGGCCCCGGGACCTTCAGAGAACTGCTCGGGATGAAAGACCTGCCCCGGGGCAAGGGTCGGAGGACTTCCAGGGGGGGGGGGCCGCAGTGGAAACATCAAGGCGTCAGGAGGAGGAGGAGGAGGAGGAGGAGGAGGAGGAGGAGGAGGAGGAGGAGGAGGAGGAGGAGGAGGAGGAGGGAGGCAGGGGAGGGAGGCAGGGGGGGGGGCAAGGCAGACCCGGAGGCCCAACAGGGAAGGCCGCCGCAGCTTCGGGTCCCTGTGGGCTGTGTCTGTGCTGAACGTCGTGACGCTCCTTAATGGGCCTTGATAGAGGGCCACATGCGAACCCTACCCCGACCCCCCCCCCCACGATTCCTGAGGGGGGTTCACTTCGTCTGGGAGCTCCCGAGCGAAGGGAACCCCACCCTCCTCATCAGGAATCGGGGGGCAGGGGTGGGGTTCGCATGTAGCCTCTTACATGAGCCCCACAGCTCGGAATTCTCGGGCGCTTCCAGGCGTTCCTGGGAGCGAACCGTCTCCTCCCAACCACAAACACCACCGACAAAAACAAGTCTCTCACTGCTTTCACAGTCCTGGATGGGGGGGAAAGCGAACAGCCCAAGGAGCTCTTTTGAAGTTAAGAGGCTGCACGGTTTCCCCCGGGCCCGTAGGCGACCCGAGGAGGAGGAGGAGGAGGAGGAGGAGGAGGAGGAGGAGGAGGAGGAGGAGGAGGAGGAGGGCACAGGGCCAAGAGAAGTGAGAGCGGACAAGACGCGAGCAAGGGACAAGAGGGCAAGCGGACAAGAGCCGAAGGGGGGAGGAGAGGGCGTCCCAGCACCACGCGCCTCATCGAAGAAGCACCTGAAGCCCAGGCCAGCGACGCATCAGCTTCTTGATGCGAGCTGACGCCATGAGACGCAGGGGAATAACCCTCTGGACAAGTGCGGATTCCTTACTATCGTGGTAAACAGAGCAGAGGACATCGATGCACACAGCAGCAGACACCAGCTCGGATTTCGAGGCAGGCAGAAGAGGATGGAAAGCGGCACGCTGGGCACCACTGGCATTGAGAAAGCGCTCGGATAGATGGGGCAACAAGGGATAGATGCACTGTACGGAGCTACACTCTAGATAATGACTGAGCGAATCAGGGCAGGATCTGACTTTACAGAAGTGGCACGCACGGGTAGGCCCTGGGAACCTGGCCGACGTGGTCCAGGCGTTGCAAATGGTACGATAAACGCTAGCAACAATACAGGCAGGGGCGGCTTGGGCGAGTCTGCAAACCGCCATGGTAAGCGACATGCAATTGTTCAAAGTCATCGGACGTCCGAGGTGGTGCCCAGCTCTCCTAGCTAGACAAGTGGCAGCCAGATCGGAACGCCGACGACGGAGAATACGCTCAGTTTTCATTTGCATTCGAAACTGCGCGACTGAGGGCACATGAGGGATGGCAGTGAGAGCGAGAAAATAGTCAAGCAGATGAGAGAACATGCTAGACTTGTACCAGAAATGATGGCGCCATAAATAAATACACTCGTCAGAATCGCTGAAACCATCCAGGAGGTCCCGAATTTCGAAAAAGGCAGGAGTGGTACAGGCCAGCCTAAACAAGGCCGCACAGGAAACGCACTGGAAGTCCCTAGCCTCACAGGGAAACCACAAGCTTTTTTAATCAGTGAGCATGCCAGTCGAGAAAGCGTTGCGAGGGGCAGGCGTTATATGTTGCACAGCAGTGTCGACAGCGCGCAGGGCCTCAGGAGACGGGCGATAGTACTGCATGACGTGCGATAAGACAGAGAAACCCACTGAGTTGAACTGCGCGATGCTCTTGGCGAGCCCCAGGGACAAGTGCTTGATGGCCCGTGCGCGACTGATGCACTTGGTGGTGGGTGCAATCCAGCTGTCAAGGTGGCCAGACTGTCCAAGAATGATACCAAGGTGCTTGCCTGACTGCACAACCCTAAACGACGACGGCATGAATCCAGCATCAAGCAGCTTCTGCTGGATGTACCTGTCGGTGGCGCTCAGGATACGTATGACCACTGTCTTAGCGAGGTTGAGCTTCAAGCCTGATGCCCGAGTGCCGAAGTTCAGAATGGGCAACGCGGCGGCAAGGGTAGTGAAGACATCGGCGCATCCCACTCCGAGGTCGTCGGCGAATGCGCCGAAAATATTGACTCTCGCGGGTAGACGATCAGCAAGCATGCGAAGGATAGGGTCGATCGCCAATGCGAACAGACTGCCCGATAAAGGGCATCCTTGTTTAATACCACGATTCACGGCAAATTGTCCGCCACGGGCTCCACCAAATGATACAGATACCCGAACATTGTGGTACAGCAGCTTGATACTCGCACGAATATGCGCAGTAACTGCTAACATTTCCAAAATCCAGAAGATATACTCGTGCGCCAATGTGGGAAAAGCACTCTCATAGTCAAACAAGATAAATCCCGCATCAACAAAGCCATGCTGGACCAGCCAGTGTAGTACATAACCTTCCAGCTGCACAAGGTTCTGACTCATGGAACGATTCTTGACGAAGCCGCGCTGAAAGTCCACGCAAGATAGTTGACAAGCATAGCCCATAGGCGCGTTGATGGCGGCCGAGATCAGTTTGTTATCGCTGCTGCTCAAGGTTATTGGCATTGTCTTATCAGGAGATCGGAAAAACCCAGCATGATCAGACTGCTCGGTGCCTTTTGCCAAAAAGACTGCGTCGCCATCGTTGAAGTCGGGGTTCGAAAGCCTGCCTGCTTGAAGCTCACGATAAACATTATACAGAAGGTTGTGCGCGAAAACCCCCGCGCGGGTCATGGCAGATAATGGCAACCCATCGGGACCTGGCGCAGCATCTCGTTTTTTGTAAATGAGAGTTGAGGAGGAGGAGGAGGGGGAGGAGGAGGAGGAGGAGGAGGAGGAGGAGGAGGAGGAGGAGGAGGAGCAGTGTTAGGGTGCAGGGCTTCGGGCCTGGCTGCCGCAGGCGGGGGGCCCCGTGTGCCGCACTCTCCAGCGCACAGCGGCCCCCCTCCCCGACCGCCCCCCGGGGGCATGCCCCCGGGGGGCGGTCGGCCTGGCCCGCCAGACGCGGCACCGGGGGTGGCCCCCCGTGGCCGTCCCCATCGCCTGGGAGTCGGGCGATGGCAGACCTGGGCTTAGAGTGACCTGTACGGGGGACGCCCCCCCCCCGTCCCGTTCCACTAACCGGGATTGACGTCACCCGAAACGCACCAGCTGCGGCAGGCCTGGTTTAGTGATTCGAATCCATATTCTGGGCTTCGGGGCCCAATCACTAACCCGCTCTCCTCAACCGGGGTCCTGGCTATATCCGAGGGAGGGCCCTGGGCGGGGCCGCCCACCTCGCTGCTAAAACGGACTTCCCGGAAGAACAAAACGGATTCCCGGAATCAAACTCGGAGCGCCGAATAGTAAACGGGCTGCTCCCCGAAGGAAAAAACAGCCTCCTGGAGCCCCGTTTTGTGGCAACCACGGAGTTGCCAGCCTTCCCCTGGCTTCTCCCACTGCAGGGGGGGGGCCCTCTGCCGGCCCGAGACGCCGCGGTTTCCTGGCAGGAGGTGGTCGACGATGCCTGCAAACGCCGGCGGCGAGCCCAGGGGAGCAGAGAGCACCCGTCGGTCGGAAGAAGCAGGCAGAAGCACGAAGCGGGAAGGCGTTGACAGCGGATGGGGTTCCGTCCGCCCCCCTGGGGAGGACGGAGGAGGTGAAGCCACTCGATCACTGAAGCAGTGAGGCGCTTATCAAGTAGATTTGGGTCGGGCATGTCCCCCTACAGGCGGATCCTGGGGGGAAGAGCTATTCCAAAAATGCTCAAGCATACTCCAAACATATACTCCTCTGACCTTTGTTCGCTATTTGTTGAACACTCCTGCCGTAGAAGGACACGCCCGACTTACAAGTTGATTGGAACCTGGGAATCCAAAAATACTTACTTTCAACGACCGCTGGGATTGGTGTGGGGGGGGGGGGGGGGGGGCAGGCCGTCTCAGGGCGCGGCGGGGCCGCCTCCGTCTCCAGAGCAGGCTTCGAGAACACTTCTCGGAAGGCCCGGGAGACCTTCTGGGAGCGCCCGCCCCCCCTGCGAGGCGGGGCTTCATCCACATCTACCGCCTGGGAACCGACGTCCTGGTGCCCCAATGGGCGGTGGATATGGATATGGATATGGATATGGATATGGATCTATATATAATATGTAATATATGTATATATATATATATATATATATATATATACATATATAGGCCCACGGGGACCCGAATTCATCCATATCCACAACCTGTGGAGGTCCGCGAGGATCGATCCCCGAGGCGGTGGCTGTGGATAAATCCCCGCCTTGGACCCTCTGACTTGCCCCTCCGGGCCCGCCGCCGATGAGAGGCCCGAGGCAGCCCCGAGGCGACCTCGAGCCTCCAGACGGTCCGGTTTGAGGGGCCTTCAGGACGCCCCAAAATGACCCCAAGAGAGGTTTTCGAGGAGCGCCTCAAGAAGTATCAGCGGTGTTCCGACAAGTTCTTCCGACATCCTGGGGCTCCCGCCAGGGCAACGCGAAAGGCTCCCAAGACCGCTCCAAAGCGGCCCACCGGGCCCCCACGATAGCCCCGAAACTATTCTTTTTCCCGGTAAACTGGGGCATTTCCCGGTAAACTGGGTTCTTCCCCGGCCAAAGACCTCGTTCTGAGAGATTCGGAAAGATTCTGAGAGATTATGAAAGATTCTGAAAGATCCTGAGAAATGCTGAGAGATGCGGAAAGATTCTGGAATAGTGTGAGAGATGCTGAGAGATTCTGAGAGATCCTGAGAGGTTCTGAACGATTCTGAAAGATTCTGAGAGATCCTGACATATTCTGAAAGATTCTGAAAAGGTTCTGAAATTGAAACCCTGAAGGAAACGCAAGATGATCGAGAAACAATCGCGCGTTCGGACCCTAGGAGGGGTCCAGGGACCACACCCGAAGCTCAGCTGCCGTTGTCTCAACCCGCCCTTCGCCCCGACGCCTCTCGTCTCGAAGAGGCCGCTCGCCTCGCCTCGATGCGGCCACTGCGCCGCCGCCCTGGGCCAGCGGGGCCCAGCGGCGGGGAAAACGATCGCCTGAGGTTTGCTCGTCGTCGCACCCAAAAAAAATGCCTTCAATCCCAGCCGGAGACGATGCCCACCCGAGGAGCCGTGAGCACGGAAGCGTGGCCTCCCTTTTTTGGTTGTTTCATCTTGCGTTTTTGCCCCCAGTTCTGTTCCATCCGATCGAAACACGCCTCCTGGGGCCAGAACCCAAAACAGGCCTCCAGGGGCCAAATGATGAAACGGGCCTCCAGGGGCCAGTAGGAGGGGGCAGGGGGAGGAGGAGCAGGGGGAGGAAAAGGAGGACGGGGGGGATGTCGGGGAGGGGGAGAAAGAGGAGGAAGATGAGGAGGGGGCGAATTGCACTCAAACTTGTATTTCTGCGATTACTACTACTGGGCTACTACTGGGCTACTTGCACTACTGGGCTAGTTCGATTGCTTGCGCTCACACCTGTACTGCTGCTACTATTACTGGTATGATGGTTACTATTACTACTACAACTGTTACTGTTATTACAACAACAACAACTACTACTACTACTACTACTACTACGACTACTACTACGACTACTACTACTACTACGACTACTACGACTACTACTACTACTACTACTACTACTACTACATTTACATCTACATCTACATCTACTACTACCACTGCTACTGCTACTGCTACTACTACTACTACTACTACTACTACCACTACTACGACTACGACTACTATTACTACTATTACGACTACCACTACTCCTACTACTACTACTACTACTACTACTACTACAACTACTACTACTACTACTACTACTACTGCTACGACGACTACTACTACTACTACTACTACTACTACTACTACTATGATTCCTTACTACTACTACAACTACTACTACTACTACTACTACTACTACTACTACTACTACTGCTACTGCTACTGCTACTGTTACTGCTACTACTACTACTACTACTACAACAACTACTACTACTACTACTACTACTACTACTACTACTACTACTACTACGGCTACTACTACTACTACTACTACTACTACTACTACTACTACTACAACTACTACGGACTACGACTAGTAGTACGACTACGACTACTACTACTACGTCTACTACTACGCCTACGACTACTCCTACGACTAGTAGTAGTAGTAGTCGTCGTAGAAGTAGTCGCAGACGTAGGCGTAGGCGTAGGCGTAGGCGTAGTAGTAGTAGTACTACTACTACTACTGGTAGTGGTAGTGGTAGTGGTAGTGGTAGTGGTAGTGGTAGTGGTAGTGGTAGTAGTAGTAGTAATAATAATAGTAGTAGTAGTGGTAGTAGTAGTAGTAGTAGTAGTAGTAGTAGTGGTAAGTGGTAGGTGGTAAGTGGTAAAGTAGTAGTAGCAGTTGTCGAAGTAGTAGCAGTAGTAGTACGACTATTAACAATAGTAGTAGTAGTAGTAGAAGTAGTAGTAGAAGTGGTAGTAGGAGTAGTAGTAGTGGTAGTAGTAGTCGTCGTAGTCGTAGTCGTTGCCGAAGTAGTGGCAGTAGTCATAGTAGTAGTAGTAGTGGCAGTAGTAGAAGTAGCAGCAGCAGCAGTAGTAGTAGTAGTAGTAGTCGTCGTAGTCGTCGTAGTCGTAGTAATAGTAGTAGTAGTAGTAGTAGTAGTAGTAGTAGTAGTAGTAGTAGGAGTATGAGTAGCAAAAGTAGTTGTAGTAGTCGTAGTAGTAGTAGTAGTAGTACTACTACTAATAGTAGTAGTTGTAGTCGTAGTCGTAGTCGTAGTCGTAGTAGTAGTAGTAGTAGTAGTAGTAGTAGTATAGTAGCGTTCACATCTGGACTCTTTCCCGGCGTGCCCCATCACCATCACCATCGCCATCACCATCATAGTCGTCATCATCACCATCACCATCACCATCACCATCACCATCATAATCATCATCATCATCATCAGCAGCAGCACCAGCATCATCATCATGACCATCACCAACACCATCACCACCACATCATCATCATCATCATCATCATCTTCATCATCATTACCAACACCATCGTCAGTATCATCATCATCGTCGCCATCGGCACCATCCTCATCATCATCAGTATCATCATCATACTCATCATCCTCACAGGCCTCATCATCATCACCATGATCATCAGCATCGTCACTTCATTACATTAACATTATTATCAGCATCAGCATAAACATCATCAGCGTAATCCGCATCATCATCTCATTACATCATCACCACCACGATCACCATCACCACCATACGCATCATCATCATCATCATCAGCATCAGCATCAGCATCAGCATCATCATCATCATCATCGTCGTCGCCAACGTCATTGTCAGCAACATCACGCGATTGTTAACAAGAGGTGGGCCAAAGGCCCTGAACAACGAGGTCACCGCCAGACTGGCGGCTGCAGCGGTGCCCTCGGGCAAAGGAAACAGGCAACCATAAACCCTCGAAGATCCGCGCGGATGTCTTGGATCAATGCCAGACCCACCTTCCTGGCGCGCGGAGCGCGCCGGTGGGGAACAAGAAGTCCCCGCGAAGCTTCAAAAGCGGATGTTTATGTTAGGTCGGGCATGTCCTCCCACAGGGGGATTTCGGGCGAAAAATAAAAAAGAATCCAAACATGCTCGAACATAATTAGAATTGTAAAAAACATCGTCCCCGGTCTAATTTTGAATTATTTGGGCATATTCCTCCTGTAGAGAGCCACGCCCGACTTACTGTTTATGCCATCTCTCCGTTTTCGAATCAAGGGAGGCATGGGGCGACGCTCGGCCCGAGCCCGAAGAGCCCCGGCCTCACGGCGGCGGACAGGGTATGGTATGGTATGGCACCGTCCGCTGCACAGGTCGGGGACTGGCACAGCTGCAGGGTTCGCCTGGGGGTGGCCGAGGGCAGCTCTGGGTCGGGCGTGTCCCCTTAGAGGCAGATGTTGGAGGACAGATTTGTAAGCATGTCGCTCTCTCTCTGTATATATATATATATCTATGTGTGGTGTGCGTGTGTGTGTATGTGTATGTGTATGTGTATGTGTATGTGTATGTGTATGTGTATGTGTATGTGTATGTGTATGTGTATGTGTATGTGTATGTGTATGTATGTATGTATGTATGTATGTATGTATGTGTGTGTGGGTGTGTGGGTGTGTGTGTGTGTGTGTGTGTTTGTGTGTGTGTGTGTGTTTTGGTGCTTTGGTGCGTCGGCGGCCTGGGGCGTCTGCACCTCGCCAGGCCCGTGCGCTGGGCCCTCGAGCGACGTCCGTCGCCTGCCGAGCCCGAAAGGAGCCGAGCCGCGGGCAGCGCCCCCGCGCGCTCCCCAGGGCGGCGGCGCCGTGGCCCTCTCGAGGCCGCGCCCCGCCCTAGGCCCCTCAGCCTGCTGCCAAGGGGGGCCGAAAACGCAGCGAGAAAACGCGCCGCGCCCAGGCCGCCCGCAACGCGGGGAAGCAGGCCCGAGCGCCCCGAGCGGGGCGGCAGCCCCGCCCAGGCCCCTCAGCTCACGGACAACACCGCGCCAAGGGGGGCCGCACGCACTGAGACCAGACAGATCATTGAACGAGCACAACGGCCTCAACTCAGATCCCTTCCAGTCTTTGGGCCCTGGCCGCGCTGGATGCGGCGAATGCGCCTGAGGCGCTCCTTGTCGCCTGGGTCGCGCGGGTCCAGCCGCCTGCACGGCCCGCCGAGGTTCCTGGCCACCGAGCTGTAGTAGGAACCGCACACGACGCAGACCACGAAGTTGCCAATGATCTCGACCGTATGTGGCCGAGGCCCCGATGAAGCGGCTCTGGCCGTCTCAGGCAGCGCCTGGCCACTCCTGGCGGGCCGGGCAGAGGCCGCCCGCCCGCGCGCACCCCGCTCTGGCTCCGAGGCCGCCGCAGCCCCAGCCGAGGGCGGCGGGGGCCCCGCCAGCGGCGCCAGGCCGCCCTGGCCAGAGCCCGCCGCCGCCGCCGAGGATGCTGAGGAACCAGTCCTTGGGGCCTTGCCACCGTGTTTCAGGCTGCCCTGGCCAGCGCGAGCTTGGTGTGCCGCCAAGGGGGCGGAGCACACAGCGGCCGCTGCCTGGGTGGCAGCCTTGCCGTCCACGTCCAGGGAGCTGGCCAACTCGCCCTGATCAGCTCCAGGCTCGCCAGCGGGTTGAGCAGCAGGCGGCACCGTGGGAACAGGAGCTGCCCCAGCGCCAGCCGTAGCACCGTCGTCCACGTCCTGGGAACAGGTGGCTGCCGCACTGCGGATCCGCAAAACACCCTCCCGCCTCGCCCCTCCCGCTGGAGCTCCCTCCTCCTGTGGCTGGAGTGCCCTGGGGGCGAGGTCGGGATTGGGCGACGACTCGCGCTCTGACGCCTGGGTGCCTGTGGCCTGCGTGGCCTTGCCGTCTGCCTCCACCACCTCGAGGTCGCTGTGCACGCTGAGGGCCGCGAACTCGTCGGTATCGTCGTAGCCATGGGCGTCCTCGGCGGCGCGGCCTGCCGCATCACCTCCTTGGTCGTCATCCGAGGAGAGGGGCTCGAAGACCCACTGGTGCCAGGAGGCCGTCTCAGGCGGGGCACGATCTCCAAGAAGATCCCTGAAACGCTCCCTGACCTGGTTCAACACATCGAAGTGATGCCGAAGCAGCCGACGGCGCTGCCTGGCTGTCAAACCCGAGTCAGGCCGTACCCTGGCGAACTGCGCCTGACGGGCTGGTTCGGCACGCGTCCAAGAGGTGTCGCATAGGTCGTCGACGACCTGCCCGAGAGTGCGGCCAGGGTTGCTACGCAGAAGATGCTCTCGAACTGGTGCCCACGCCGCCGAGCTGAGAAACCTTTCAAGATATTCCGAACACCACGTACGGTAGTCCCACTCGTTGGTGAAGCCTGCCACGTCGAAACAATCGATCCAGAAAGACGCCCAGATGATGGCATCGTCCATGATGGAACGGACATGCTGCTGTTCGGGCGTGATGTGTGGCTGGCTTGGCGGGGTTCCCATGCACACAGGGCCGTCAGGTATCCGCTCCATCCTGCCAAGAGCCGCGCGGGCTGCTGCGACAGGAGCCCACAGCGGGTCGGGGCCCAGCTGGGAGGCAGGCGCAGGGTCGGGCTCTACTCGAGGCCCACCCTGATCTCCATGGTCTGCTCGCTGTCGCACAGGCCGAGCGGCGGCGCCTGCCGCCACGAGAAGAGGCACCGCCACACTGCCTCTCTTGGCCGCACTCTTGACTCTCTTGCCCTGGAGCCCTTGGAGACGACCACGGCACTCCTGCAACTGAAAGGCCGCGAGGCGAGTGCGGGCAACCTTGCCGCAGTTGGTGCACTTGGAGTAACCGCGGCACACTTCCAGAACGTGCGGGTGCCTGGGACCAGCCTGGGGTCGTGCAGCCTGAGGAATGTTGGCCTCTTGGCCCTGCTGCCGTTTGGGCCTAGGCTCCGCCAGCTTGACCCCGTCGAGGAGGACCCTGAAGTGCCCGATGTACTCGAGCACGCGTTTGGTGGCCTTGAGCTCCTGCTTGACCTGCAACGTGGCCCACTCTGGCGGCGCGCTGAGGTCTGCTCCTTGCTTGGCCCATTCGTCGGCTAAGTCATTGTGCCTCATGTGAATCTGGACCTCCTCTGGCAGCTCTAGGCGTTTGGCCTGCGATATGTGCGAGGCGACTTTGATGACCGACAACTCTCTGCCAGGAAGGATGTCCATGTCATCCAGGCGATTCCAGATCTCGAGCCAGACGTGCGCATAGGGCCTGGCCGCTGAACAACACCATGCCCTGCCACGGGCCAAGCCTTGGACCACCTGAGCATTGTCAATGATGATGGCCGTGATGAAGACCGAATGCCTGAGGGCGTGGAGGAGACCCCACAACTCTGCCAGGACCGAGCTGGGGTCGGGAAAGGGCAGTGGGCCGTACAGGCCCTGCACCACGTCGTCGGCCTCCGCTGTGCACTGCAAAGCCGCCCAGCCGCCGTGCCTGAGGTCATCCAAGCCTTTGACTGATCCGTCCGAAACCAGCACATCGGTGAGCTCGGGGGCCGCGCCATTGACGATCCAATGGGTGCGCTGCGACGGTAGACTCCAAGCCAAGCCGTAACATGGGGTTCGCCGCAAACCCCGCTCCCACAACCATCTTGAGGCTTCCGACGAGGAGGCCGACACGCCCAGGTGGCCGACGTCTCTGAAGGTAGGTGGCGCGTCGTGGGCCGTCAGCTGCTCCCTCACCGTAGCACACGTCGGGCTGCCGCACCGCCAGTAATAGTGCTGGTGGGTGCCGAAACAGGTCGTGTCGTCGCAAAGCTGGCAATACGGAGTGCCCGCCTGGCCCGAAGAGAAAAGGGCCTCCTGCGAAGGGAAACCGCCCAACACCGCCTTCTCGACCGCGTCGGCATGGTGTTGCAGCCACCCGTCCTGCTTGCGCCGCTTGACCAACTGCCTCGCTGGGGTGAGCCACGGCGCTGGCAGGAGCGCAGCCCGCTCGGGCTGAGCCGCAGCCCACTGGCACAGGGCTCTGGAACGGGCGGCCAAAAGCACGGCGGCCTCGACCGACTTGGGGCAAATCTGCAGTAGATCAAGATGGACGTCCCCCCCTTGGAGCACCCCGCCACGTGGAGGCAAGACAATCTCGAAGGCTGACGGCATGCTCCAACCATGGGCTCGAACTGTGACTGAGGTGGCCCCCGCTGGGCCGCGCACCACTGACCACAACTCCTGAGCGTCGGCGTCCATGTACAGCGCGAGCTGTTGCTGCACTCGGGCCCATGCTGTGGCCTGCGCACGCCGCCCCTCTGGGTGGTCCCAAGCTTCCCTCGCCCAAGCCAGCAGCGGTGCTAGAACGAGGGTGTCGGCGCAACTGGGGTCGAGGCCGTCGCGCAAGACTCGGGAGGTAAAAGCTGTGGCGCCCCTGCGGACGGCCCGATCCTTCTGCTGGATGAAACGCACGATGGGCCTGGGCGTGCCGCGGACACGGGCGCCGTAGGCGACCGAGGCTCCGAGGCCCTGCCGCGCGACCATCTCGAGCTTGCCCCCGCGTGCACGAGGAAGGCCGCGGATCTTAGGCCAACGCTGCTTGGCTATCTTGAGCCGCGCGTGTCTGACTGGGGCTGACTGGTTCTCTGTCTTGACGCTGGGACCGTAGTCGATGCCGAGCCACCGCTCGGAGGTGCTGGGCGGTACTCCCAGGACGGCCATGGCCTGCGTCAAGCCTGAAGACGGAGTGGCCGTTTGCAAGAAAGAGCACTTGCCTCTCGCCCCGTCCCGCGCTCGGGCTACCTCCAGGCCCAAGAAGGACTCCAGCATCCAAAACAGCAAGCGCGTGGCCTGCGGCAGCATGTGCAAGACGCGCGCCTCGGTGGACATGACCCGCAGGGCGATGTCATCAACGTACAAGTAGATCGTGAGGCGGAAAACCCCCAGCAGGTCGTCTAAGCACAGCGTGAGGTAGAACCTCAGGAAGGTGGGCGCGAAACGGCTGCCCGCTGGGAGCGCTGTGGAGGACAGGACCTCCGCCGAGCAGGCCTCCCCGAGACGAATGACACGGCCAAAGGCGAAACTTTCCAGGGCGAGCGCGACCACCTCCAGCGGGCCGTCCCACCAAGCTGCTAGCCACCACATACGCTCATGCGGAACCTTCTCATAACACTTGGCGAGGTCCGCCAGCATCGTGGCCGCACGTATGCCTGTGCCCAACACGAGCTCGTCGTCCAACAAAGCTTTCCACAGCGCACGCTCCGATGATTGGCCCGCCGCCGTGTAGTCGTAGCTCCTGGGGTGCGCCGCCAACCAGCTCCTGATGGTGGGCAGCTGCCACGCCTCCCAGATTCGGCAAGGGCCAGGTAGAAGAATGATGGGTCGGCCCCCTCCATCGAGCTTCCCGATGATGAAAACGAGCAGGAGGTGGACCTGGGACGGCCACCGCCCCAGTTGTTGGCACCAGGCCAGCAATGACGCGAGCGCCGAGAGCGTGCCGTCCGTGAGGTAGGCCCAAAGCTTGGGTTGCCATCCGTCCACGCCGATCCCCGCCTTGGCCCTGAAACGCTGGGCCAAACCGCGCAGGTGGTGAGGGCTGGGCGGCGTGACGGCGATTTGCTGGAGGCCCCATCCACGGCTTGGGGAAACCTGAGCCAGTGGTCCAGACCTTCGACCAGTCGTGCAACTCCTGGTCCACGGCGGCCTGAGGCGCCGCTGGGAGCAGCTCCTTGGAGATGCTCCCCTTGGGAGCCTGCCAAGCCTGGCGCCACTTGGTGACCCTGTGGAGGAGCCCCTGCGAGCCTGGGAAGTCGTCCTCTAACCGCTGCTTGAAGGAATCTCGTCGTTCCTTGCCGATCTGCCACTCCAAGTACGAGGCATACTGACTGCAGCTGAGGCGCCAAGCCGAGAGCTCCTGCAAGTCTTCATAGCCGCGGTCCCGAGACGTGAAAACCTCGAAGAACTCCTGCAGCTCAGCCACGCCTTCTAACAGCATGTGGTGCCTGAAGCGGTCACGCAACTTGCGGATGGAGGCGTGCCGCTGCTGGTGCAACGTGGTGAGGGCCAGGTCGGAAGCGCCCGTGTAGCTGAAAAGCTTTACTTCAATGATGCCCAGCCAAGCCAACTCGTTGGCAAACCACCTCCAACGCTTGGCCTCCCCGTACGAAGCGATGGCCTCGGTGTGGGTCGGGAGCAACGGGCACTTCCTGAAGCGCGGTGGTCCCCCACGCCCTCGGCATTGATCGGCTTGCCGACTGCTGGGGTCCAAACCCACCTTCTGGATCAGCTCCTCCTCGGCGGCGTGGCAAAAAGCCTCCCAGGTGTCGTCCAGGAGCTCCTGGGTAGGCACCGCATCGGGGTCGAAACCTGCAGGCACGTCTGGGCACGAGAGATCGAAGTGCCTCGGCTTGACTCCTGGGATCGGGAACTTGTGGGGTCGGAGGAGCTTGGTGTAGGTAAAGGCCGACCAAGGCTGCTGAAACTCGACCAATGTGGCTCTATGAGGGTGGTAGACCGCGTCGTCGTCAATGCGAGCTGGGGAAATATTGGCAGCCAAACTGGAGTGCATCCAGAAATAATCGATCACGCGCTCACCGTGCGGGGAGCGGTTGGTGCCCCCTCCCCATTGCCACGCTACGACGCGGCCTCTGAGCTGGTTGTTCCACGGCGAACGCTCCAAAGCGTCAGGTCGATTCTCCCAGTCCGCGATGACGATCCAGGGCAGCTGGAGCTGGACTGCCCACCCCGTGATAACTGACAGGAGAGCTGAATTGCCCACAGACGCCAACTTCTGACCAGTGAAGCAATACGCACAGAAAACCAGTAACTTGCCGATGCCCTTGGCCTCGAGGGTGGCCATCAGGAGCCTGCCTGCACAACCTGGGGGGGATATGTCCCAGCGTCGCTGTCCAGATGCAAGAGTGACGCCGACGCAGGCAGGTATCGCCAGCAAGACGCCCGCCGAGGCCCCTCCATTCGGGCCGTCCGTCGCTGGCGTGGGCAGGGCCCTCCAGCCCAAGGGCAGCAGGGCCCGTGCGCTCTCTTCGGCCCATAAACGCCGCTTGCCGTGCTCCTGGAAACCGATGATCGGAATATTGCCCTCGGTGAGCTGCTGGTGTGCCGCGCCGTGGAGGTAGCCCACAACGTTGCCCCAGCTGAGGCTGGCATTGACGCTGTGGAAGGTGAAGCGCCTGTGGCTCCGCTGTCGACGCTTGCCTCTGCGGGCTCCTGCTGCTGAGGGTCGATACTTGGCGACGTCGCACTGGGGCTTTGCCGGAGTCCCGCTGCAGGTGGACTGGCCGCCAACACTGCCGACACTGACGTCCCCGCCCTCGGTAGGGTGTGCCACAGTCTCATGGGCCATCTCGATGATGTTAGGCTGCCCAGGGCCGCAGTGGCTTTCCCCAGATGCGACAGCTGAGCCTGCAGAAACAAAAACTGACGTAAGCAACGCCTGACTGCCTCCGTGGGCAGAGCCACCAACACCTGCTGGAACAACTGGGTCCGAGAAACCACCATCTGACGTAAATTGCGCCTGAGGGCCTCCAGCGGCCAAGAAAGCCCCGCCTGTGGGAGCAGCAAAGCCCGAGCAACCACCAACTGGCGTAAGCTGCTCCTGAGCGCCTCCAACGGCGACAGAGAAACCATCTACAGTTGAGGCATCTGAGCCAGAGGGGCCACGGCCTGACGTAAGTTGCACCTGGGTGCCTCCAGCGGCCAAGAAACCACCATCCGTGGAAACTGTAGAGCCCGAAACACCACTGACTGAAATAAGCTGCGCCTGGGTGCCACCATCGGCGGCCGAGAGACCATCGCCCGTTGAAACAGCTGAGCCAGAGAAACCACCAACTGACGTAAGCTGATCTGGGCTGCCTCGGACGGCAGAGAGACCACCAGCTGAAATACATGGGGCAGCTCCTCGGTGCTCGCCCGTGAGGTTGCACGCGGCTGGGGTGGGAGTGAGCTCGGTGCATTCAACGGGCGAGGCAGAGCAACACCGCGGCTCCTCCGAGGTCCCAGTCGAGGTGGATGGGCCGAGGTCGGCCTCCAGCACCTTCGCGGCGCACAACCTCCAGCAGTGGATGCGGTCGTCGAAGTAGACGGTGGGGGCCTGCGTTCCCGACGTCGCCTGGGACTGGCGGTCGAACCACCGCTCCGCGGCTGACTGGGTGCGGTCCTGCTGAGCCGCCTCACGCTCGAAAGCATCCTGATTAGCCACTTGCAGATGCTCCAGCCACTGCCGCTGGAGGTGCCTGGCATCCCCTCCACGGTTCCAGGCTTCGTCACCCAACTCCCGTGCAATCCTCATGCGCTCGGCAATTCGGGATCCGCTGCCCGTGGTGGCTGCCAGGTCGTCCAGCATGGCTGTGTACTCCCCAGAGCCCAGCTGGTGGAAGATGTACGGCACGCAGTAGGAGTCCCAGTGCCTGCGGTCCTGAGCCGTGGTCCCCAGCGACGGGGTAGGGCGCCAGTGCCGAGCCATGCGGCGCATACGCGTGGCCAGGATGGCCCGCTCACGCCTGCCCAGGCGGACGAGTCTGGGCTCTCGTGGCTTGGCCTCTGGCGGCGCATCAGGTCCCCAGGTCTGGGCCTTACGCCTCTGCGTCCCCAGCTGGAACGGCGGCTGCTGCTTCCAAGTCCCGCCTGAGCTGAGCCAACTTGGCTGCGCCATCGGGGCCGCGGAGGCTGGGTGGCTCTGGAGGGTGAGCAACAGGAGGCCGAGCAGGGGCCTCAGGCTGCCCAGGGGTGGGGGCCTGGGCTGGGGCCGCGGCGGCCGCTGGGGCCTCCGCGGGGCCTGCTGCCGCAGGGCCTGCGGCTGGCGCCTGGGCTGGCGGCTGGTCTGCTGCTCCTGCCGCCTCGGTGCGAGGCCGCTTGCGCCTGGCCAGCAGCTGCTGGTGCTTGGCGTCGATCTCGCCGCGCCTCTGCTCCAGCTGCGTCTTGGCCTCACCGAAGGTGGTGCGCACGTGCTGCTTGACTTGATCGACGAAGCCTTCCAGGGACTTGTTGAACTCCTCGCGCTCCGTGTCGGTGATGTCCAGGTCGGGGTCGTCCAGCCTGAAGGCGTCGCCTGCCACGACCTGGAAGTCTTCCGCCAAAAGCGCCGTGACGTTGAGGCCCACGGCAGGCTGAGCCTTGGCGCCAGGCCCCTGCGCCTCCTGCGCCTGCACCTGGACGCCCTTGGGCGCTGCTGCCTTGTAGGCCTCCTCCACCTCCACGTTGCACGCCAGGACGAGCTCACCAGCACGCACCTCCTCCTCTCGGCAGGCCTGGAGCCACTGCTCGGCGTCGTGGACCTGCTGGGACTTGGAGAGGAAGGCGGCTTGAGCCCGCCGCTGCTTGGCCTGGGCGCGGTTGAGGGCCACATCTGGCAACACCGTGGCCGCAACGGGCGGTGGTGCGACTGCCATCTTGATGGCCTCGAGCTGCTGGCCGTGCTCGGGATGCCTGGCCGCCAACGCCGCGAGGCACTCTGCATCCGACGGCGGGGCGGGCTGCGGTGGCGGTGCCTCGTACCCGAACCAGTCGTCAGAGTGCCGCACCCACGGCTCGCGCGCGAATGACCACGCCGATGCCCGTAGCTGCGGAGGCTCGTCCACCGCGGCAGGCTTGAGCGGCTTCTTGCAGTTGTAGCACTCCACCCTGGCCTTGAAGTTCCACTTGTACGAGCAGTTCGCACAGCGGACGTAGTCCAGGGGGTTGGCTCCGCTCGCGTTGGTCTTGCCTGCCTTGCCAACTCCTTTGCTCTTGCCCTTGCCGCCGCCGCCCTTGGCCCGCGGCTCAGACCTGGCCCTCTGCGAGGCACTGGACATGGCGAGTGGGCAGCGCACAGCCTACCCCTTGCCAACACACGAAACAAAACTGTCGGGCGGAGAAGCCCTGGCACTGGCCGCGGACTAGCGGTATCCACTCGTTCCCTTGTGGAACAAATCATCTTGAGCCAAAATGGCTACGTGTGTGTGTGTGTGTTAAAAAAAGGTGAACAAATAGTCGAAAAATAGTTCCGTACTGTTTCTTTGACGACCATTATTGAAGATTCCTCCTGTACAGGGACATGCCTGACTTCAGGGTAGCTGCAACACCGTTCGCCAATGTGACTGCGGGGTCACTAGCGAGCACCACTGCGAGCTCCCTCTGCGGACGCCCCCAGATCCGACAAAGGCAGAAAGCCCCACAACCTTCGGCCACCTCTCAGAACTTCGAAGACACACAAGGTAACCGTCAGACAGCTTCCAAATCTGAAGCCTGTGAGAAAAAATTAACAATTATGCCCTCCCCCTGCCCCCTCATACCCACCCCCTGCTATCCCTGAGAAGGCGCCAACTACACACATCCACAACAAATCTGGCCAGGCCCATCTTGTTGAGCAGGGACCGACTGTCCCGGCGTTCCTATAGTCCAACCACGAAATTTAAACTTCGAGCCCACAAATGTTCTAAGAACAAAACCTAGATTCTTAGAACATGAACCCGATGTGTTAAACCAAGACAGACTGCGCCAGAACTGTTCTCAGAACATTTCGTGGAAAGCATAGAGAAGGAAGGTTCCTAGAACATTGTTTGGTGGGGCTATAGGCGAGCCAGGACGCTTCGCCACTACTTGACATCTTGGGCCCAGACTGGTGTACACGCCCGCCCCGGCTTGGCGAGGAGCGCGCAATACACCGATCCTCGGGGGCGCCCAGCAGGGGGGCGCCCAAGAGGAGGAGCCCAAAGCGTGGTCGGCGGCACGTGGGCGGCCCGAAGGGGGGGGGGCCAGGGACGTGACGAAATGAGACGAGGCGCCATGTCATCTGCTGGCCATCGCTCGGACGTCCATTCCCCGTGTTTTTGTTCGGTTCCGTGCGTGGTTTTTCGCCAGATGAATCAAGGATGCTCCTCGATGGTCCTCGCCCAAGGAAACATGCACACGTCCGAGCGATGCCAAGTCTGAGGAGATGCCATGGCCCGCGCCATGATATCCCCCCCCCCTTTCAGTCATCACTCCTCCCCTGGCCGCCCCCGAGATCCAGGGCCCAGGCGCGGCCCGACCAGGACCGGCCTCCGAACTCGGCGCCCTCCCTCCGCAGCGCGCAAGAACACAAAAGTGACGTAAACATACAAACTCGGAGGTCCGCTGGACCCCCCTCCCTGGCGCGCGGAGCGCGCCAGGGGCGGCGCCGGAGGCGCCGCCAGGGGTGCCCCAGCGCCGATCCGAGAAATCCGCGCGGACCTCCGAGTTGTTGTGTGTTTCTGCCACGTCTGGTTTCCCTAATTATTCCAGGGCCCGGGATCGGCCTGGCCAGGATCGGCCTCCGAACTCAGCTGCTGCGCCTCCCAAGGGGACGCCAGAGACAGGGACTTCTGAGACCGCGGCGTTGCATTCGAGACCTCGGAGTGCGAGTGACAGCGTCATGCGACGACCTTGCGGGCGAAACCGACCGGACTTGAGACGTCGGCATCGCCCGTCTCCAGAGCCCCGTTCCCCGCACCAGGAGCTCGCACACCTCCCCAACCGAGGCGGTTGAGACGGTGGGGCTCGAGGGGCACATCCCCGACTGAGGTGGCGAGAGACGGTGGGGCCCGAGATGTGGATGGGCATGGGGATCGGGATCGGTTAAACGGTACTGATGTATATGCCACCCCGGCTTGGCGAGGAGCGCGTGAATAGACCGCTCCAGGGTCCAGGATCGGCCTGACCAGGATCGGCCTCCGAACTCAGCGTCCTCCTGACCACCCACCAGATCACCCCAACCCAACCCGAAAACCCGAATTTCGGGCTGGGGGGAGGCACGGGTTTCATGTGTGTTTTTCCAATGCTCCCCGACCTCCCCCCCACGAGAAGTGGAGGGCAAATTGAGGCCTTCGGGTTAGGTTTAGGTCGGGCATGTCCCCCCACAGGGGGATCTTCGACAAAAAACAACTCAAACAATTCACCAAAAACTGCCAAACATACGCAAAACATCTTCCCCGGACAATTGTTTCACGATCTTTGAATCTTCCCCCTGCAGAGGGACACGCCCGACGTAAGGTTGGGTTGGGGTGGCTTGTCGGGGGGAGCGAAAGGGTGGGATAGCAAAGGGTAAGGTAGAGAATCATCTCACGTAGTTAACGGATTTTCCCGGCGCCTCCCTGCGCCAGGAGGAGGAATGGGCCCGGCGGCGGGGCCGAAACCAGCTGCATGCAGCAGATTTCGTACCCCCCCCCTTCCCTAGTTATCCCCCCCTCTCGCTCGGCCCGAGTTTGGGGGGCGGTGCCCTCCCTCCGCAGGGCCGGCCCCGCACCGCGAGCTTGTACATCTCCAGCCCGCCGCAGGACAGGCGCACGAGGGCCGGCTCGTCGGGCCGGTAGCCTCTCGCAGGCGAGGGGGCGCGGAGGGGGCTCGGCCTCGCGCTGCACGGTGCTTGCCGGGGCCGTAGGCGGCCCGAGGGGGAGGAGGGGG